AAATTTTATTTAAATATTTTAAATTTTAAAAAAAGTAAATCATAAGCAAATTTATAGTAATTTTCCAGGCAAATTTGTCTGGAATTGCTTTATAGTTTAAGGGATAATATTATAATAATAATACTAATTTGAAAATATTATATTTTCACGATAGTGACAAACTAGTTAATTGTTTGAAGTGGGGCAGAGGATCCGTATTCTCAGCATTGCCAAAATTTTGTCTGTTTGTTCGCCCATATGATTTGTATTACTTGATTTACCCATATACTTACTAGAGTGCAGACTTGAATTCTGTCTGTCTGTCCATCACGTGAATTGTACTATATGATCTACCCAATAGCATCACCATACATACGTATATACTAGAGCTCAAACTTTAATTCTGTCTGTCTGTCCATCTATTGTAATACAATGATTATCTATCTTTGCTATTTTATAGTTGATTTTTTTTCATATATATTACATTTCTGATGGTCAATTTTTCTTCATATATATACACATTACACACTTATCACTAAAACTATTTATTATTTTTTTTTTATCAGTATAAGATCACACTAATTCAAATTTTATGGTTTATATAGAAAACGCCAGTTGCAGAATTCGCATTTTTGCTGCAAATTCTATAATCATATCAGAATATGAATCAACATTGCATAATCCAAAAGAAAAAGTTATTAAATCTATTGAATTAGAATTAAATAGTAAGTTTTATTGTATATTGATATTGATTCAATTTTATTAAAAATTTTAATCAAAGCTCAAAATTCAAAACATAATTTTCTAGAAACTACTCAAGAAGAGTTGATTATGGAAAATCAACTTTTTTTAAATAACTCAGTTGAAAGTTTTCTTACGAAAGATTTTGAACATCTATTTCTCAACAAAAATGAGGAAGTTACTTTTAATCAACATATAGAATTACCGCGTTTTTTAAATAAAGATACAAATTCAATTTATGATTTTTTTAAAAGTTGGGTTTCTTTATTTGAAAAACTTGGGTTGGCAAAATGAAAATCTTATATTTTCACAATATCCTAGATCCAGTTAAAAATTTAGGTCGTTAAGAGAAAATCTAATT